TCCAAAGTATCTTCTACTAGAATCATCAATGTGTGAAGTGTTTACTCCACCATAAGATATAAGACAGAGCAAGGAGAGCTGGAAACCTGATCCAGCTGTCAGTACTACTGCTCTACAGTTACGTTCCCAGACAGACTTTGGCATGGGAAAGAACAGAAATTTGGCTTTGTAGTTTCCTTAATACCATTACCTCAGGTGCACTATTGTTCAGTCTTCTTTTTCAGGTTGGCAAGAACCCAACACTAATGCTATTTCTTTGTGATATGCATTACGAACTTTAAACCAAGGATCAACATTTGAAGTTTCAGAGCATAATTTGTTGATACACTGGGGACAATTTGCATTTTGGAAGAGTATATAGGACAATATAGGACAAATATGGACAAAGTTGAATATATGTGACTTCAAACATTAGCTTTTAGGAATAGCAAGTTTTTTCCCTACATGGGTCTTGGATTATGTCCTATGAAAATACTGTTTTACATGAGGTATGTGGGTTTTTAAGTTCCAAATCTAAATAACAGGCCAACATCAGCAATTGGAAAGAACATCATTTAAAAGAATGTTCCTTCAGGATAGGACTGGTGTCTTTTCATCTCTATTTGTTCACACCTAGCTCAGCTAGTTCCTGGCATAGGGTCAGATTTCAATAAATGTTGTTGAATGTTGTTTTTAAATAAACAGAATGCTCTTGGTGTCTATGTCTATTGAAGCAAGTATTCCTAACAGAACTAAATTATTTATCTTAAACTCAGCCTCTCTTCTTCTAAGTCCTTTTCTTTGTTGCTTATTTATACAGTGTGCAATTAAATGTTGGCGATGATGGAATATTGGTTGAATGCCCAGACCAAGAGGAAAGATTCACACCCTGTCTTATTCGAATATCACACTATCTTTGGATAAGGGAGTCAAGAGTTGGTTTGGAGCTTTTGTATTTAGTTTGTCACTTTGTTCATTATTTGTCCGGCATCCTTTCTGGTTGATAAAAGGAGGCACAGTCCCAGTGGGAGCTCTTTGAGGCAGGGCTTCTGTTCTGTTCATCTTTATGCCTCCTATTAACACTCCTTAACACCCTTTCATTTAGTTAGAGAGGCAAGGAAATGACCACTGTTTGTTAAGCGTCTACTAAATCAGGAACTGTTCTGGGCAGATTATACAAATGGTTCCATTTAATCATGCAGAAGTCTTAGGACATCAATTATTCTTAAGAGTTGAGAAAACGGACGAACACTAGGTTCAAGGAATTTGCCATATTCACATAGTTATGAGCTTCATCATTGTACACTCAGCCACTAGGAGAGTGCCCACATTATATATGTTGAGCAAGTAAGGGAACATATGCTACAGTCTGTTCTGAGATGAAAGTCCTAATTCTGAACACTACTTAGTGTTGTCTCCCCAATCAATATGCTTTATTTTAAAGCAACAACAATGATTTGAGATGTTTTGGTGAATGTACAATGTTTTTCATGTTTGACTTATACATAACAGACATTCGTCTAATTATATTTATAGACACTTTTTTCATAGACATCCAAGTGGAGAAGATGAGTGATCATTAGATCAAAATCTCAGAGGGTCCCAGGAGAGGCTGGATTAGAAGTCCTTTGAGTTGAGAGCCATTAAATCAAAGTATCAAATATTTTAAGGGAAGATTAGTGGCAGAGGAATCATCTAAGAAAACTGAGGAGGATCTGCAAGAGTGGGAGAGAACCAAAGACAGCATTGTTATGAAGACATGATCCTGTCAACTGTGGGGAGAATGGGAGAGAAGAAGATGGGCACAGGGACAGGGACTGTGGGCCTCCTATTCAAAAAGGACGGCAGGAAATTGGCAAGTGAAGAGGGGAAACAAGAACTAGGCAATCAGGTGGATGTTTTTGGAAAGCTGAATAGAGAATTATTTGAAAAGTGGTAAGATGGAATAAAGAAGAATACCTAAGGAAGATACTGTAAACCACTGGAAGAGCAACTGGGCAAGAGACACACCACTTCCTCTGAGGCAGGAGGTGAGAGGTAGGTGAATTGGAAAGTAAGGCATGGGAAAAGTGATTTGCTCATTTTATAAGCTCGGTTATAATTTTAACAAGTTATGTGAGATCTTGTTAGGGTAATGATAATAAATGGCTCAAAAGCAAAATCCTCCCTTTCCTCACAGGGAACTTAATGCATAAACAGGACAAACAGAGAAGCACAATTCATAATAGCTAAACTGTGGAATCAACCTAGATGCCCTTCAATAGATTAATGGATAAAAGAAATGTGGCATATATATACAAAGGAATATTACTCAGCAATAAAAGAGAATAAAATCATGGCATTTGCAGGTAAATGGTTGGAGTTAGAGAAGATAATGCTAAGTGAAGTTAGCCAATCCCCCCAAAATAAAATGCCGAATATTTTCTCTGATGTAAGGAGGTTGATTCATAGTGGGGTAGGGAGGGGGAGCATGGGAGGAATAGACGAACTCTAGATAAGACAGAGGGATGAGAGGGGAAGGGAGGGGGCATGGGGTTAGAAATGATGGTGGAATATGATGGACATTATTATCCAAAGTATATGTATGAAGACACGAATTGGTGTGAATGTACTTTGTATGCAACCAGAGATATGAAAAAATTGTGCTCTATATGTGTAATAAGAATTGTAATGCATTCTACTGTCATGTATTTAAAAAAAAAAAAAAGAAAAAGAAAAGAAAGAGCTAAAGGAAAGATCCGACAAAAAGAAAAAAAGTTTGAGATCATGAGAAAATCATGTAGTCACCTTCTTTCCCTCTGGGTAAAAAACAGGTTAAAATGAACATGGTGGGGGGCTACGGTTGTAGCTCAGTGGGTGTGAGGCACTGGGTTCGATCCTCAGCACCACATAAAAGTAAATAAATAAAATAAAGACATTGTGCCCATCTACAACTAAAAAAAATTTTAAAGAAAAGAAAGTGGTGGAAATTCCTGAAGAGAAAAATGAGATCCACATAAGGTTTGAAATAATAGCCGATCAGTACTATGCATGTCTAGAACGCTTGGTGGCTTTTATTTCCCATGCTCCCCATCCGCTCTTACTCCTGTGCTCTTGTTTGTTGTCCCTTCTTCCTGCCACATTGCCCTCGCCATCTCCTCCTTACCTTACCTCCTTACAGCAAGCCTCAACCCCCTTTCTTCTCTGACGCTGGGGGTACTTATTACCTGGCTCTCAGCTGCCCAACACATCTGCCATGCATCAGGGTTTTGGGGGACATGTTTTATCTATCCCATTCAATGCTGTGTATCTAAGTCAGGGAATGTCTTCTACTGTTCTCTTGTCCTCCACAACCTCTTGAAAAAAAATTTTACTAAATTAACATCATTCCCTTTTTACAGATGAGAGAATACACCTAGCTGAGATTAAATAATAGAATTTACAAATGTAGGATTTAGAATTGAAGTTCAAAATGCACCTCGTGTGATCCCCAAGCCTATGTTCTCTTCCTAAACTGTTTGTCCCTCTTGAAACTTAGTGGCAGAGGAAGGGGCCATGTGAAAGGAGAAAGGTAAAAACAGGTACTAATACACAAAGGCTCAGATGACCCCAGGAACATCAGCTGAGTCATTTTGTTTTCTCTTCTAGAAGGATTTGTGATGCCATTGTCCTGTCATGACTTCCATTCCCTGGTTACTCTCCCCTTGTGCTCAAGTAGGGATCTAGCTGTTCCTTAGGGCATCTATGAACATATACATAGAGATTACTAATGCCATTACCAGAATAATCATAGGTTACATTTTAAGCACAGTTATCTCATTCAGAACAAACCCATCTAATATATACCCTTGCTTTTATTAGGTATATTGCAAATTGACATATCTTAAAAGCAATTGTGTACACATCATATCTGTATATTTGTAAAGAGGGATCAAATAAAATGTATTTATAATTGAAAACAATGTGGTGTACAATTACGGTGACTCAGGCAACAGACCAAGTTGTGTCTTATCATATGTCTGCCCTAGTTTTTACTGTACCCAGGTGAGATTCTTTCTTTTTTTGGAACTGGATGGCTCTTAGCTACTTTCCAAAGCCCACCTTTCAAAATGTTAGCTAATAATAATTAAAAGTAGTACACTTACAAAGAACATTTGTAGTTTAACAAATGTAGGACCCCCAAAGGAATGACTATTGATAGATTTCATTCACTGATTTAAGCTGTGAAAGAAAATTTTAGTTTTTTGGTATGATATTTGGAGAAATTACAGTACATGGCAACCTTCTATTATGTCTAAAAATGAAGTCTACTCTGAATATATGGTTTATACAAAAATATGCCTTGTTGTATAGGAGTTATGGTCTTTTACTGTCAAGATTTAATTTAGTTAAAAAAAAATCCCTCCTTAGATCTTCCTTTTTTCTCTTGTATCAAACATACAGGACATGACAGCATTTGTCTTCTTTTGTGAAAATATAAGAATTACCTGGAAGCAAGGGAAGCCTTCTACTTATCTATTATCTGGTAGAGGTGACGCTGAGGTTGAAAGGAAAGCCCATTTTTTTTTTGTAATTAATATTTTCCTTGTAATAACCTGGCCTTTTGATCTCCTTCATTTTTACAGTGCTAACTAATAGCCTTGACAACAGGTCCCTTTTTACTTTATGTCTTTGAAAGATTTGTCCTTAGAGTATGTCTCTTGTATCACAAATTTTATCTATAAAGGGTGTAGACAACTGACTTGGGGGCTCCCAAGCGGTTTCCCATTTCCTTTTGCCTCCCTTTATTCTCTGCTTGCAGTAATCTATAAAAATGGACACAAGAGAAGTCCTTATGGATTGCCTTTGAGAAAGCAAGACATTGATAGAAAGTGGATCATAGCAGTCCAAGGGGATGACTCGCCTGCACTTACTCAAACTTTGCAGATCGTGGGACCACAGGGAGCAAACTACAAAGGAATTCACAGCCACCACAACAATATGGGTTTGCTTGGAGCAACCAGGTTACATTTATTTGGTACCAAGCAAGGTGGAAAATAACCCTATAGTCGAGTTACTTCCTCTTTTGAGGAACCAAAAAGGCAGTAAATGTAGTTGAAAACAGAGAGACAGATTGTGGTCAAGCTTGTAATTGGTCCAGTGAGTGAACAGTCTCTCTTGGGAATGATCTGTGGTTCCTCAGGAAAGATGACTGGCCTAGAAAGAAGCCACTGGATGAACTCTTCTAACTTGGTAGCACTAAGGAAAAACCCCCACTTTCCTCCATGAACAAAAGTTAGCTTGATCCATGTACCAAAGTCTGGGTAAATATAAATATTTGACCTTGCCTTTTTTAATCTTCTTGATGCCGGTTTTATGTTACTTTCCTTCAGAGTTTCAATTTGAGGAGAAACTGGTTTTTCCTCAAGATGACCAGTGGGCTCTGGATAACTGGGCATTTTCTCTGGTTCTGGAGAGATTTCAGAATCTTTGGACGCTGACATGTTCTTTGAAGTTTCTGATTGTATGTAATTATGAAGCAATTCTATGATTTCTTTACCTCTTTCTCCCTTCAGGACTTCTAAACAATGTATGCTGGGGCAAGAACTCTGGTTTTCCAGCTCAGAAACCTTCTTCTTTAAAGCATCAATGTCTTTTTTCATAGAGAGGATATCTTTGGTGGCTGTGTCTTGTTTGTCTTCATTAACAGTCATCCTGGTTTCTAGGACCTCCATCTGCTTCTGATAATGGTCAATCTTTTCCTGGATTTTTGATACTGCACTGACAATATCAGTCATTTGGCCGAGGAGTTCAATTTGGGAAATTTTAATTTCTTGCAGCATTACTGTAAGGTTCATTTCTTCATCCAAACTGACATCATGTTGATCACCACCACAGGAAGTCATTGTTGGATATCTAGTTGAATCTGGGCGCTGGATCTTACGTTTTTGGTAAACATTTTTAAGAGATTTTCTGATCTTGCAGAGATTTGAAGTCCACATATGTCCAGCAGCCGCTTTTGCCCTTTGGGTATGAAATCTGTACATCTTTCATTGCGAAATAAGATGCAAGGTATTGGGAAATGTGATCGCAGGAAGATGTAGTGTCAGAATGAAATGACCTTCTTTTGCTATTTGCTGGATTTCTTTCCTGGTAGCTGCATAGAAAGCTCTATTGAGAACAGCCAAGGCAACAATGGGTACTCTTAGTTGTTAGCTTCTTCGTAGGTGGCCCAACTGGAGAATTCTTTGAAATAATGGTCAGCTGCATGGAATCCTTCCAGGGGTAATAATTGGCCTGATGCTGATGTCACAATGTCTGCTGGCTTAGAACTTATTTAAGCATATTACAGTGGTTCTCAAGATTTTATCACAGAAAACTTTTTTTCACTTGTAAAAATTATTGAGGACCATAGAGTTTTTCTTAATGTAAGTCATAGCAATTGATATTAAACATTACAAATTAAAACCAAGAAAGCCTTAATTAGATAAAAAAAAAAGATTGCATACTAATCTACATGACATATTTTTTTGTGAAAAATAATAGTTTTCTACAGAAAAAATGAGAAAAGTGACTTATTGCTTTACATATCTGTAAATGTTTAAAATGCCTGGATTTATAGAGGATATCTACAGTCTCCTACCTGTTTTTTCATTTGTGATATGTTTTGGTTAAGTGTATGAAAACAAAATGGCCTCTGGAGATATGTAAATTGAAAGGGGAAAGAGTATCTTACCAGTCTTTTCAGATAATCGAGGATATTATTCTTTGCTATTCCACCAAAATTCGACAAATAATAATTTGTTACTAGTTAGTCTCTCCAGAAAAGTCTGAGTGAGGGAAACTAAAAATATTGAAGAATGATATTGACCAAATCATATTGCCATATCCTGTGTACATACAAATATGTAACATCCAACCCCACTATTATATGTAATTATCATGTATCAGTAAAAATATAGAAAAGAGTATAAAGTTAAATTTTAAATAGATTAACATTTTAATTATAATTAAAAGTAAATTATAAGCAAAAAGCAGTCTTTGAGTATTAGGAAGAGTTCAAGCTTTGGTAGCAGATATAGATTTTCCAAAATTCTAATTTTGGCTCAGAAGCTTCAATTTTATAAAGTGTGTTGTTTTCCTTGAAGTGATAGGTTCTCTACTTCAATTTTTTTTGTGCAAAATGCTTGCCAAATGCTGAAATCTGATTACTATTGTTCGTTGCCAGCTATTTTTTTTTCCAACCATAAATGGTGCTTCATGAAAAAATGGCTAGTTCAGTTTGTAACTGAAATAAGTACTTTTTCTCTGGATAGCCATTATACTTTGGGAAAGCAGCAAAAGTACTTTATTCATGATTCCCATTATATCATATGTACTATAAAAAAGATGTATTAAAGAATTGAGATTTAAGATCTTTTTTTTTTTTAACTACTTAATCAAGAGCATCTTGAGTAAAAAATGTTTTCTTGTATTTTTTTCTTTCTGTTTGAGTGGTGGAGAATACAATTTTTATTGGCCACTACCTTGGTTTTTGCCAAGGTATCGTCAATTTTATCCATTGTTGCTTTTGCAGTGGACTTTTCAAAATGAAAATTAAAAATACAAATAATATCCTGGTATTAGTTAAAAATAGTTTTGTCTGCTATATGTTACACTTTGAGAACCACTACCTTACAGATTTAAAATAACATCATACATTTCTCATGTGTCTTTTTATAGGTTTTTCTAAATAGCAGTTCTTAAAATCAAAACCTGTTGAAATACTAAATAATATTTCCCTAATTTTATATATTGAAGTAAAGGCTTAATTTTATTCTCTAAACATTAAGACTGAACATTTTGGAATTAAAATGACATGATACCCGGATGTCTCTCATGGAGTAGTACTTTTCTATTCAAGAGGATTTAATTTTTTTTTTTTTTTTGGATTGGTGCCAGTTCCAATCTTCTACTAAATGACTATTAATTCTCTTATTTGTGCCAAATTGCACGGTGAGTTTTGGCCCAGGTTTTGGTATGAACTCTGAACTTGGCCAAAAGTAATTTATGAATTTTGGCTCGTCAACACTATCTGGGATTTTATTTTACTCTCCTATCTTTGAATTGCTATTTAGTAACCTTTCCAAAATGTTCAGAAACCTTTCCAAAATCTTGCTGAGGAAAAATGTTCTGCAGGAATGGTACTCGGGGCCAGAGAAGTTCTCTTTCAGAGCTGTTCCATTTACCTGGGCCAAGACCATTGTATCCATCAGGCTCCACAGACACAGTGCTTAGGGCTTGTGAAGTTTCCAATAAAATGACTTGAGAGCAGAAAGAAATAAAAAAAAAAAAAAAAAAGCAGTGCTCAGAATACTAAAAGAAACCTGCAAGATTGAAACAATAAATATTTAATTAAATGTCTCTGAAATGTACTATATCATCTTCATTAATTGTTAAATTTAGTACTATTAATATTTCAGTACATTTGGAAGAGCTTTGTAGATTAGGTATTTTTACTTTATAAGAATTCCCAATTAAATTAGAGAGATTGCTTGTAGTAATTACTCCCTCCAGATTAATAACAGCCAGTCTTATTGGGCATCTACCAGACACTATTACATATATCGCCTTATTTAACTGAAGTTCAGAGAAGTCAAGTAACTCTCCTATGGGAATACATCTAAAAAATGGGCAGAGCCAGATCTTACCTTCTTACATTCTAGGTCTAGAATCCACATTTTTACTTCTTTTGCCACACAATTGTGATTAAAAAATATATTTGTCACAACCCAGGAAGAGATGGACATTTTTTTTTTAGTCTTAAAAGCACATTATGTATTTATAAAAGGCTTCATTTTATTGAAACTTTATTTGTTTAGCAATATAAGAAAACTAAAGCTTTAGCTGTTTATTTTATTTACCAGAACCATTTGATGCAGAAATTCATAAAATCTTTGGGAGCTGAATTAGTCTAATTCATAAGTTAGAATGCACATTAGAGCTTATTCTTGCCTTACTATAGTATAAACAACTGGAATAAAAAACAATCGTTTAAAAATTCACAACCAAAATTATTCTGATTATTTTATAATACAAATTAATCTTGTAGGTTTGATACCAACATCAACCCTTCTGGGTTTCTAGCTGCAGGTCTTGCTAGTTGGTGTTCCTGAAGGGAGCCCAGCCCACTGGGATTTGTTAGTTAGAAGCTGTCGTGGGAGGATCTAAGCCGGGTGAAATTGCGAAGGCAGTCAAAAAGTGAATGAACAATGGGAAATAAGCTGACTTCCCCTCTTAGGGTCGCTGCCAGGGAGACATTTGGGAATAAAATACCATGCTAGATTGGAGCTTAGTGGGAGACTGCCTGAGGAAAAATGTTCTCCCAGAGCCCAGCTCACTGGAGAAAGATATTTGGAGCTAGAGAGGTTGGAGCATGAATCTGGCCCAAGACTGACTCTGCCTTCAGCATGCTGTTAACCTCACATGTGCCTGGAGAATAGGATAATAGCAGCACCTCATTGGCAGAGTGGTTCTGAAGATTAGAGTGTTCAGTATTTGTAAACCCCTTTCCTTCCCCTCTGTAACCACCCCCTCCTCACTTCCCTCCTGCAAATGAAAGAAGGAAATGGCTCAGAGTTCCAACTCGGCTCACTGTTGCCATCTCTTGCTGTGCTTTTCTCTCTCTTAACATGACCAAGACATGCAGCGTTGCTCACTGTTCAATATAATGATTGAGCATCTTGATTGGAGACACCCGGCTGCCGCTGACAAGGCCAAACAGGCACTCTGTCTCCTGGTTCAGCTTCTCAGCCGGCCAGGGTGTCAGGCAGACGGTGTGGAATAACCTCCACAGAGACAGCTCTAATAGTAAATAATATTTATTACTCGACACTGCTGTGTTTGGGTACACGAACTATAAATTAATTATGATAGAGTCCAGATTATCTGTATAAAAGGCACCCTAATTTACATTCCTTTTTAATATGTTTTCTTGAGTGGGAGAGAAAGAGTAGTTACAGGGATCCTGCCAGCAATTGGGCACTTTGGAATTGTCATGTTACACCTTAGTTATCTGCTATTCCTCGTGTGCCCTTCACGGTGGCAACTGTGAAAAGTTATTGAGTCTTTAATTTCCCCACCAAATTTGGGGAACAGGTTCATAAGAACCTACTGCCCCTATCCCAGCCCCTGCAACACCTGAATGTTATCTGTCACTTGCAGGATGGGATAAAAGATTAAAACAGGAAACAGGAAGTCCTTTCCAATTTGATCAGAGTAGCTGACCCAAGGAGATTAGAATGTATTAATTAGTTTAAATCTGCTATTACACAAGCAAAGTATTTGGGAAGGGTCCAAAGTTGAAGCCATCTTCTATTTTGTTTTCTTTCTTTTTTTCCCATGAGAAATATAGAGAATTGGATCAAAACCAGAGCTGTTTTACTGGACGAAGACCAGGAACTAGAGGAAAGCAGAGGCAGTATTTGTAAGGCGGGCAGGGTCTGAGGTAGCGAAGATAGGTGACCAGCTGAGGGAAGTGCTGTGGCCAGGGACACTGACAAGGCAACCTGGTTGGAGTGACACGTGGGTACATGAGAGGGTTGTGTTTGCTCTGTGGTGTCATGTCAACGAAGACATGTTAAAATCATATGAAACCAAAAATCGGTGAACACTCTCAAAGAAACTAGGGAATGCTAACATAGTATTTGGTAATGACAATTTACTTTTCCACTATGACTAAAATTGTATGGTCTCTTTCTAGAATGCCCCGCCTCTATTTATATCCTTGGTAAACTTGACCCCATCTTCTACAGGGAGTATCATCCACACTGCTTTCCTTGTTCTGCTTGTTCAGATTCTCTTTGTTGTCTTACCAGTGCTCCCAACTGGTTCTTAGTCTCTACCTAGCAGTGACTTACATATCAGGTTGTCATTGTTGGTGAGCCTAACTCCCCTCTAACCTCTGAGTCTCTCCTCGAGTAGAAGACTTGCTTCAGTGCTTCCAATGTCACAAATCCCGACATAGGTTGGTGCTTAGTAAATCTTTCTCCAATGAATGAATGAATGC